TTCCGATCTAAAGAGTTTTGACTCTTAAAGGAAATTGAAAGAAAAAATATATTATAAGATAATGATTATATTAATTAAGTTTGAAATGTTAATTTATTGTTTGTGGTACAAATTAGTACGAAATCAGTACTAATTATACAGGCTTTTATTTATTTTTTTTTTTAATTTTTTTTTATGGTCCTGCTAGCTTAATATAAATCTAGCAGCGCCATTTTTTTTTTCAAAACGGCACGAGGTACAAAATTTTTATTGGTGGTACAAATTAGTACAAAATCAGTACTAATTATACATACTTTTATTTATTTATTTTGTAAATTTTTTTTGTGGTCCTGCTAGCTTAGTATAAAGCTAGCAGCGCCATGTTTTTCTTCAAAACAGCACGAGGTACAAAATTTTTATTGGTGGAACAAATTAGTACAAATTGAGTACTAAAAAATTAGATAGGTCCGGTTTGATTCTGCTCATTTGGTTCTGCTAGCTTGATAGAGGTCAATAATCAGGACTTATTCAGTGGGATATAACTTTTTTATACAACGTCATAAACTTTATGTAATATATACAATATACATATAATTGTGCTTCTAAATCTGTATAGAAAATTTCGATAATACTTTTCGTCACGATTGAAATAAGATAAATTATATAAAAATTCAATTATAAAAATTAAAAGATTTTAGGAAATCAAGTAATAATGAACAAATATAGATAAAATTTTGTTTGTTCTAGAGGAAATTTTGTATTAATTTTGTATTTTGTGATGCACACGATGATTTTACACTTCGATATATCTGATTATCAAAATTTTAATAGCATTCTAATTCTCTTGTTAATTAAAGAAAAATTCTTGTAAAGGGCTAAATAATCATGAAATGAAAGAAATGGTAGTCTTTAAACATAACTTTTTTTCTTTAATAACACTGCAAGTATTATATATATATATGTATGTGTTAAATACCTATATGTATATGTATAGATACAATACGCATATATTTGAAATGTTCAGGGCAATGATTTCATGAGGGTGAAACGCATGACGGCAAATTGCCAAGGTCTTCTCGCGTTTTCTGTAATTACTTCGTTCTCAAAACTCAAGAGAAAAATTGAAAACACTGGTTGACAAGCCGTTACAATCATGATATCACTAATGTATGGCACGTTAATTTAAAAAAAAATTGCGTGTTTTGTCATTGAAACGCATCATCAATTGAAAGCACCGTGCTCGAAACAAGATCTCTTTTAAAGAAAAGTTATACATATATATCATAGGTTTTTTTTAATGAAAAAGATGATATACATGTATGAATATACATATTGCGAAATACGCGATGAAAATGTGTTGTATGCTGCCGGTTTGGTACAGAGAAACTCCTCTCTTCATTGCGGTGTGCGGCGCCTTCTCTCGATCGACCGAGAAGCCGCTATGGGTATACGCGAGGTCGGATGGTGGGGCGTCGGCCGGTAGGGCAACTGAAGTAGCGAGGCGGTGGAGAGAAGGGGAAGAGGAGCCCTCGCGCTCGCGCTTTGCTTGCGCGGCCTGCGCCTGCTCCGCTCCGGGCCTCAGGCCTCCCGCCTCAGTTGCCTCGCGACTCTGCATCCATGAAAGTCGACCGCGCGTCGCTGCGGCGCGAAACGCCTCTCGCTTTCGCCCGCGCGGATGCGTGACCTGTGTCGCGCGCGCATCGCGAACCCGGCGCGAAGTGGAACAGTGTTCGGCGCGCCTCTCGGAGACGTCCGTCCGTCCGGAGTTCGCCTTTGTCGCGACGCGCGCCGGCCCATCCGACGACGATGTCTCGGGAATACGCGACGTTCTGAAGCGCCGTCCTCGAGCGGCGACGAGTGACCGCGCTTTAATGTTGTGCCGTCTGTGACGACGAGTGCCGCGACGAATGGAGAATTTAATGGGGGCGAGCGATTAGCCGTCGCCGAGGTAGTACGCGTGTCAGTTCAAGTGCGCGAAGTTGTGTCCTGTGAACTGATTTCGATGGTCTTCGAAAACATCGAAATGAGGAACCCTGCGGGGTTCCTGCTCGAGGACGCCAGGCATGGATACATCCAGTACATCAGGTACATACAGTTCCTCTCTGTCTCTGGCGTGTCTCGCGCCGCGTATACTTGCTGAGAAGATAATTGAGCCGGCGCGGCGTGATTTGGCACATTGATCCGGGTTAACTAAGCGTTTCTTCGGAAACGTTGCGGTAAAAAGTTTTGAGAGAAATATAGAGAGGATCGGTGGACGATAATTGTAAGATGTTTACGAGATCGTGGTTGTTTACGTTACGGTGACGATTGTGATTTAGAAAGGGACGTTGAATCATTCATCGACCAAGATTAGGTAAACCGCACGGTCCGCGACGCGCAGTTTGGCTCAAGTGATAAGAATTGTCATGCCGGGTACGCGTAAATGTTCGTTTTAATGTTCGCGTCGCGCAACGTTTATTGTCAAATGCGAGTCTTCTTTACGAACTTACCGAATACGCTATGCAAATTGATCCGTGGAAACGCTCAATATTTAACAACGCGCATCACGATTTACGTTAAATACAATGTTCGTTTCTTCGACGCTCCCGGTCTTAACCACGTCAGTGTTTATTTATGTATAAATCCCAATATCGTCATTGATAACGAGCGATCGTTGTGTAAATAGAAGCCTGCAATGAAGGCGTTCAGAACTTTCAGACTTGATTATCACTTACAATTAATCGTTTCTGATTAATTACATTTAAAATGTCTTGTTATAGAAAATACTTCACAATTTCCTGATCGCGGCGTTTATGTGAACTGTTCCCAATCTTGTTTATACATATGTATGTTATTTTAATTTGAAAGAGTCAGTTTAGAGTACGGTTTTACATAAACGGACGAATAATAGGTAACAAATCCATCATCATGTTTAATGTTGCGACAACAATACGGGCTTCCTGCGTACGTTGCATATGTATGTGTATGTAACGCCGGATTGTAAAACGGGAGCCGTAAATCAGGTGTCATTTTCGAAGTATAGTAAAGCGAGGTATCGAATGGACATTGTTCGCACGATGGGAGTCCGCGTGAACGATCTAATCCGGAGGGACGATCGATAATACGCCTTAATCCTACCGGCGCGTAGCGAAATCATTGCTCATTTTGCGGCATAAGCTTAAAAGATTATTGCAGATTATAACGGGGAATATTCCTCCGGGCGCAAATCCATATCAGACACTAAAAATAATCACGTATACGATTGGAGCAATATCGATTTGACAATAAATTATCTCGTAAGAATAACTTAAATATTGTGAATTGGGATCTTGTTTTTAAAATTATCATTAAAATTGTACCGATATGAGAAAAATATTCGAGCATCTTATCGATGTAGCGTCAGCTTAAACATATGTACGAACGACTAATCTTGTAAATAGTACATAAAGGTATTAATTGCACGCAAGTTGAAGTTTTACAGCATAACATCATTTTAATCTCTTATGTACTGTTAAAAAAAATTTTTCAATCAAGCTATCCTTCCTGATGGATAAGAAGTCCTATTTGGTTGCACCGCTTTTTACTATTACTTTATTTTAGTTAGTATGTACGCGAGATCTTGCCGCGAATGATGTCAGATCCCGGCATAACTGCAGACCAAAAAGGACTTCACTTGCAACTTCTTTTTAATTGTATTTTTTGCCGTGAACTTTCTGGTTGACCGACAATTACTTAGCTAACCGTTAGGAAATAACGGTTTACAGAAAACAACAATTCTTGCTTTTTATCGATACACATAATAGCGATGCCTTCTGGAATATCCACAACGTTATATTATACGTTATTAACTGTTTGTTGCATGATATGCTGTGTACAGGATGTATTTGATTGACTCCGCTTGCTTGACGATAGATATCACATGAATAATTAACATACGATAGCCTTTAATTAAACTATCTATATGAAAGACGTGAATTTTCAATTTGAGGTGCTGCAAAATTAATATCTATTGATGATTTTTCTTTATTCTTTTCATATATTGATTCGATATAACGCATGATCACGTATTTCAGAAAATACAATAAAAGTAACATCAATGTTTACTACTACTGGTTTAACTTTAATATTTCACGTTTTAAAATTACACATCTTGTAAATTTTAATTGCAAATATAATATCTATCGTTAAAACAGAATGTGATCGAGAGTATTCTGTGTAATATGGATATTTTCTTTATTACCTTCTCGAATGACTTCTTTAAGCAATATGACTTTGCTACTTTTTTCACGGTACTGATTTATTCTCGATTAGCTAATGTTCCTTTTGCACGAAATATCCTTTTTTTTTTTGCAAAACGCGATTCTGCAACTTAGGATTAATTGAGAGATCAGAAATTACGCAGGAGGGATACTCCTTGTACCGTTAGCGATGGTCCAGTTTAAGATGGTAGGATGCCTACTTGGCAACGCAGCCTTCACCGGCATACGAACCGTATTCTTTGTTTGTTTTTTCGAACCGCAAGGGTCCCTAACCAATCCTCTATCTACGACAGATTTCAGCTCGAACAGTATTCTCGTGAAGTATTCAGTCTGAAGAATTACAATTGAATGATCAATACATCCAGAGAGAAATATTTTATATAAATTAATTGAATAATCTATATGTATAAAAATATAAGTTAAATCACGAGATTTAGCTTAATAAATAAATACAGTTTGTGATAAAATATAATAAAGATATATTAAATTTTTTACATTTTCTTCATTATAATTGTACATAATTTTGAATATATCAAATTTGAAAGATAACAGTGCTGTAATTAATAATTCGTAAATGGTTAATAATTTTCAAATTTTATTGCTTATAAAACTTGCACTTAATAATAAAAAGATACAATGTGAATTTTTTATTTAATTGCTATCTTTAGCATCACGAACTTTATCTTCTAACAAAGAATTTCAAAATGTATTTAAAAGATAGATCCATTTGTGACATATTTGTAACATATTAATTTCACAATTGATATGTACTATAATAATGTGTTTCATTTTTGCACTGTCGGATATAATTCGTAAATTAGTCTTCTTTGAGATGAAATATGCGATGCATTATTGAAAACGATTAATATTAAATTTCAATTATGTTATAAAATGAAAATTGATATTTTAGTAGAAAATATGTTCTTTTTGATGTAAAAATATACATATAAAATATGTAAAAAATAATTTCTAATCTATAAAAAGTTTGCGCTTTTCTCTTGAAAATATCATCAGTTAAAAATTTATAACAAAAATTCATGAGAATCTAAACGACGAACCTTTTTTATTTCAGTGTTAAAAAAGCTAATCTTATTGAGGTACGGAAGAATTCTCTATAAGAAAGTTATTAACGAGCAAAAATTAGAAGCTCTTGTCCAAAAACATATGTAGCCGAATGCCAACGTGCCGGGCGTTAATGGATACCATGTGTTTTCTGAAAGCAACGCTCCTTTGTCAGCATCAGCTGACTCGGAGCATCAGCTGCGCGCTTTTGTATATAAGGTGTGAAAGAGAACACTGATTATTTGTCAAGAAAGGTCACCATGGGAAAAGTTGGCTTCTATGCAGCTCATAAATATGCTCAAATATGTTCGTTACGATACTATGCGTATACAAGCGTTGTATATTTGGAAAGCAAAGAAATTTAATAATACCTTTGTTGAAAAGAAAACATATAAAATATTTTTAATTAAGGCGTCATCCATTATCTTAATTTGTCGACTTGCACTTTGATGTTATCTTGTTCGTATTAAATAACAAAGTGTTTCGGTAAAATTATTTTTGTTTTAACAAGTTACTTTTTATTTTAATATAATTTCTTACATTATTAAGTGAATAAATTCAGAATTAGACATACAATAATGCAATTGCGTTTCTAGAACACATCGCACTAAAAAAATCTTTAGACGATCTATGGTTTGTGTTAAAATTTAGAATATAATTCTATTATATTTATAATCTTGTATATCGTATAATATTTGGAGACATTTGATAACATTTGAAAAATCAGAATACACACATATATAAAATAGATATTATAATATATTGTAACATGCAAATACACGGCATGTAAGTACAATTAGAAACAAAATTCTATTCTGAAATCTGACGCGGATTATAGATTGCCTAAAGTGGACTTAATAGGCTAATCGATAGGCTAATATAGAACAACGTCAGCTCACGCGCCAGATATTCATATTGCTTCGTTAAACGGACGAGTCACGTGTATTGTTACACGATGTATCTCGAGATGAGCACACACAGATTATCGAGATATTCTCACTCTAATCAGTAGCGGTGATTATAAATTCGCGATCGGACATGTGGTATCTCTATCAATAACCGTTAGAAAAAGGTAGGCTTAAGTCTCCCGTATTGCCGCAGCTGTCCTCTAACATTCTACCTCGGCACTGCTCTAACGGGTCTCTCGTCGTCACGATATAAATCGTAGCGACGATTATTGCCGAGTAATCGTCGAATCGAACAGTCGGTCTGTTATCTTCTTTCCCGTGCGCGCGCGGACGATACTCTCGTGTGCGCGCCGCCGATCGTAAATCAATATATACTTGCATAGTCGTTGCGAATATTAAAGTGTTGCTCGTTCGTGGGCACACTTCTCCACGCTGATATTTATAGCTCGAGGAAGCCCGCAACGCATTCACATGATCACCTTAAGATCATTAACTTCTCATTATGTAATTTCTGAGCGAAACGCCCATTAAAGCCCGGTGGAATTAATTCCATTGATATGTGTAGCGCCCGGTGCGGATTATAAAAAAGTTCGCGTATGCAGTCGGCCGGACGAACTCGCGCTAGCGAGTTCTCTTCTAATAGCTGCAAAAAGTACTGCTACTTGCGAAAATGACGATTAATTTTCCTTACATCGTCTGCGGGGACGCGTTCCGGTAATGAAATTGCCAGGAGTGATTTAACGCGACACAACGCATTTAAAGTAAGATTAACTGGTTTACTTATAATAGATTCTTTCAATTATACGAACTTCTTAGCGCAGCAATTATTCGTCTATAACATTTCTTGTCGTAGCTTTCTTAAATAATTGTCTTCTTT